AGGTGGTTTTCCATTGCCTTCATAATGGTAAGAGGACCAGGTTGAAATCACTTCTCTGATGAGGCTGGTCTCTAAAGTTGACAAGTTGTTATAAGCTCATTCAGTCTTTCAATATGAAAGAGCAAGCCTCATTTTAATACACAGGCCAAATAGTAACACTGTCCTTCTCTCCTGCCTTCCTGAAGTACAAATATCAAACAGCATTCTATCAGACAGCATATTACAAAAGAGGATACGACTCATCTCCAAGACTATCAGGCTTCATGGGAGGAAAACAGACATAGGAGAATTCTTTGAACTTACATAGGCCTCTCAACAGATTCATTACAGAAAAGGACCTTTACAAATAGTAAACAATTGTCAGATCCACCACTGCTATGAAATTCAACTCTTGCACCATCTAATAAAAGTACTTTCTCCAATCCCTTTCTAATAATGAACTCAGAACTGTGAGTAAAACAAAGAAACTGAATAGAGTAATAGACTAATAAAAATTCATGCTTAGTGATACGAATACTGATTTGGGGAAAAACAATGATTCAGAATGTTTTACTGATGCCTTTTGGAATCACTTGGCTACAATCTGTAGCCACAGGAGACACGTTTTAAAAGACAATATCCTGCATAACTAATACCTTTGAGAAATTGACCCCTAGGATTATTCTGCTATTCTTATAAGATGAATTGTGAAAACTCTTAGTAGTCTAATTTATATATTAGATGATACACCTGATAGGCTAAAATAGGCCCTCGTTGTTATTGGAAATGTAAGTGATGTGGTAACAACATATTGACAAATATTTTAATACCATGAGATCCACATGGGAAGATTTCTAATTCAATAGTTCAGTAATAATATAATTCACAAAGAAATCCCAGAGTCTGGGAAACTCAGGAAATAGCATTTTTGGCTTATATTGTATTTAAAGAGAAGACATACAGAACTGTGAAAGCAAAAGTAAAAGATTTGGGTACAGTTCTCCCTCAGTCTTTCAACTTCACCATATCCCCCACCACCTCATCTTATCTGAAAGCTAAGTCTAATTCCACATTTTCTTCCCCACGCGTCTCAAATGCCTGCTCCCTTCCACCGCAGCTCCTCCCGGTCCGCTCCTAGCACAGTGATCCTCACCCGGGGCTGCACGTTGGAACCACCAGGGCGCTTGCAGCACTACTGAAGCCCAGGTTCCACCCCCAGAAACTCTGGTTTAATAGGTCTGAGTTATGATCTGGGCATCAGGATTTTTTAAAAACTCCCCACGTGATCCTAATGTAAGCAAAGAATCGGAACCATTGAACTAGCCTGATTTTGGTAAGGGAGAGCCAAAAAAAGTAGCAAAATACAACAAGACGAAATAATCAAAACCAAAATGAGTTCTCAATTCCACGTGCTCAGACGTGCAAGAGCAACAAGGTCCTAGGGCGAATACGATTCCCAAAGCTGACCGCCATCACTAGTTTCTCACTCTCATTCCTCCCCCACCCCCATCAGTCCCCAATGTCTGTCTTTCCTGGCCATCCCCTTCTACCAGGTCCTCCTGCCATCACACTAGCTCCCTCCCTCTTCTCCTGGTACCTACTTCAGTGTAGAAGCCCCTAATTCATCTCTCTGCCTCCTTTCTCCCTCTCCCTCTGATCCATCCTGCACACCACTGCCAAGTTAGTCCGGTCGGCATTCTCCGAACCTCCACCGGCGTCTTCCCACTCACCACGCCTGAACTCCTCAACTTGGTGGAAAAGGCCTTGCCGAGTGTGTTCCCAGCTGTCTTCCCAGCTCTCATTTCTCACTACTATCTGAAAAGGAGTCTCACTCTGTTCTGGTCAACCTGGACAGTCTGTAATTCCCCAAACAGGCTCCATTGAAAACTTCAAAATCCAAAGGGGCTCGAAATAGAAGGCAGGTCGTTTACCCCAGATCACACAGCTGGTGAGCAGTCCAATCTGGATTTCAGTCCAGGTTTGGGCTGTGTCCAAAACTCTTAAATACCATCCTGTTCTCTCTCTGGAACGTCCTTCTCCATATCTACCTGTGCAAATTTTACCCATCCTTCAAGGCCACTTCATTCCTGAAGCTTTCCCTGGTTTTCCTGTCTGAAGTGACTTTTTTCTCTTCTCAGCTCCTATAGTACTTTGCACATTTCACAAAATGTCATGACAACAGAGTCATGTGGTAAGTTTTCTGAGGTCTGAGACATTGTCTTATGGCCTTTTTGGTCCTTTATAGCACCTGACAGCACCCCACTCACTGATGGCACTCAGCAAACATCCGGCAAAGAATGAGCTCCTGTGGGAAGCCGTCCTGCGCTAGCCCAACCCAGCCACAACGAGAGGTGTTACTAACTTCAGGCACAGACATCCTTTCCCTGCTCTGAGTATCTGGCCATTCTCCTCTTCCACTGCATCAATTCTTCCTTGCTCTATGTCATGAGCCCTCTGCCAATTGCCTATAAAACATTTTGCAACCTGGGAAGGGCTCTAATGCCTGGTGACTACTGTAACATTTAGGACAATGCAAATTTTGATAAATATGAATCATAAAAGGGACAAAGGTGGTTTGACTCTTTGGAACCTGGAATAGAAACTGCACAGCAAAGTTCAGGTCAAATTCCCCTTTCAGGCCCTGTTACCCACTGTCTCTGTCTTATGTTGAAAGAAATAAGCGGTAGGGCAGCAAGTGGGAATGAGGAAACGCCAGAAAGAGGAAGGGGGGTAACTGGTCAAATGGCTACTCTTTCTCAAGAGACAAACAGCATTCTAGGAAACTCAAATACGCCCTAGTTTACAAGAAATTATACAAGGAACACAGAGCAGAAAAAAGACATCAGGCCAAAACAGACAGCAGCCCCTTGTTTCGTCTTGTCTTCTACATCTGTGAGACACGCGTTTCTACCCCTCACTGCTTCCCTCCACCCTGGTTCAAGTGACACTCGATGTACCGTCCTCAGTGCGACTCGTAAAAGGCTGCAAGCATAAGATGAAAATCACTCATTTTACTCAGCATATGACTGCATCCGGGGGGTTAAGTAGAATGAGAAAATTAGTGAGTTTAAAACAAATAGAATGAGAATGGCAGGGGCATACCCACCCTTTGCCAACCTCCCTGCTCACCCTCTTCATTGCTGTTCCCCACGGAAGCAGAAGTTGCTAAACTGATGCGTCATTGCCTTGGAATCCAACTGAGTCAAAGAGGGAGACCAAGTTCAACTCCCTACAACCCAGAGAGGTCAAGGCAGGAGTGAGGGAGGGGTCCCCCGTCTCTGCCAGGGTCCCCCTTCTCACTCTAGAACAAATACCTTTTGATTGAAATGAATCATATCAGAACTGGAAATTCTACCAACATCACTTCTTGAGAACCTACTGTGCTAGGGCTAAGGAAAAAACAAAAAGAAAAAAAGCATTGTCCCCCCCTCTGAGTAGCTCATAGTCTAATGGGAGAGGCAGGATTAATTTCCATCAACCACGGTGTTATAAGGGGTAAGCTTGGGGTTCTGTGGAAATAAAAAATAAAAGAGTCTGTAAGAGCAGAAGTGGGGTCAGGGAGGAAATGAGATCAGACTGGGCACTGATGACTGTGTAGGAGTTAGCCAGGCCCAGAGGGTGGGAAAGGTGCTCCTCTAGAGAGAACCGCAAGGTCAAAGCCCAGAGACGTACAGAATCCTTCCTCCAACAAAGCCCAAATCCTCACGCGTCTGCATGATGCACACCAGATGCGCGGATGGGAGGAGGACAGGGAGGGAATTGGTAATATAACTGAAATACTGAACTTTCAAGAAGAAATGCAATCAAGATAAATCCAGGGGCCGGCCTGGTGGCGCAGCGGTTAAGTTCGCATGCTTCTCCGTGGCCCGGGGTTCGCTGGTTTGGATCCCGGGTGCGGACACGGCACGGCTTGGCAAAACCCATGCTGTAGTAGGCATCCCACGTATAAAATAGAGGAAGATGGGCATGGATGTTAGCTCAGGGCCAGTCTTCCTCAGCAAAAAGAGAAGGATTGGCAGTAGTTAGCTCAGGGCTAATCTTCCTCAAAAAAAAAAAAAAAATTAAATAAATCCATAGCCTTCCCCAAAGAAGTAGGAAGGGCAAAAAAACAAAAGCAAAAAATCTCTTAAGGTGGGTTTGGTTAAAGCAAAGTACTAACTTCCTAATCTCCACAGGTGGGATCACACTGCAGGTGGCCTTTCAATCTCCAAGCTGGTGTTTACCTCCAAATCATAGAAGGCAGATGGAAAGCAAGCAAACAGCACACACACATACATACATGACTGTTGTGTCAATTCTTAACCACACAGCAGATAAGGAAGAGATGATATAAGCCAAACGCGTGGAGAGTGGGGCCTTCCCCGGCCGAGTCTGCTCTGCAGGAGAGCAGACATTGGAGGTCTGGGGATTTACTGACTGAAGTGGCACAAAGATGGGAGACCTGGGTTGGAGAGGGTGGACATAGCAGATACTTAAAAGCATCTCTGTCGTGGTCTTGGTATGAGCATGGTCTTTATTCCCTGCCTTTTAGTTTCCTTTCTCTGTGCTTTAGTTTCTCCAAATGACAATGACAATTACAAACTCTGCCCCTAAATCCCTATAAATTAAATAAATTAAATAAATTAAATAACTCCTGACATGGCTTGAGCTCCTTGAGCACGGGCCATGTGTCCCAGACAATAGGCCCCAGGAAGCCAGAATCACCTTAATCATCTAGAGCCAAGAACATCAAGGGACAAAGGCAGCATGAGCTGTTCAATCAATTTTTCATTCACTCAACAATGTTTATTAAGCAGCTTCTATGTGCACACCATAGTCAAAACTGAAACTCATTCATCATTGTTTTCTGTTCTCTTTCCACATCCCTTGTCTGTGACTGATGGATAAGAGAAACTGGCCAAGTTACATACTAGTGTCAGCTGTGCTCACGGAAGATTCTATCTCAACCCAGCCCTGCCACATGGGAAATGCGGAATAAAGCCAAAGACTAGGAAGGCAGCAGAACACTGTGCTCAGCTCACCTGGGGATGCTAGTCAGGTAGGTCATGACATTCAGGAAGTCCTCATCTGGGATGTGTTTGAACCCCACAAACTCTGGAAAAGTGATGATAGGGGCTCCGTCTTTCCCTCGGCCTCCTGCAACAAAAATGAGTGGTCAAGACATTAGGAAATTATGTTCATGTCACACCTCTGCAGGTAAGAGACTTTGACTAACATCAAGTCAGGAGATACTTATTGGCCTCCCCTTTTCTAGCCATATTATTTCGGACTAGAATATGGGAAAGTTGACACTGAGCTATTTTAAACAAATCTCTATTCTGCTACATGCTTGCTCAGTGTTGTTGTGAGAATTCAATTTTTGAATCCTTTCAAGATAGTTTCTGTATAAGAGGTAATATTGACTTAATCATTTTAGCATAGGTAGAATGGTAAATAATGCCAACGCAGATATGTAATATCACTCTTTATTTTTGGAGTCAGTAAATATCAAAGATAAAATAGCATGGTGGTGAAGAGAGGTAGCTCTAAAATCGGACAGCCTGGTTCAAATCCTGCTCTGCCACTTAATTTCTACATGATTTAGGCAAGATGCTTAACCTAAATAGAGTCTCCTCACACATACAGAACCTTCCAGGGTTCTGCCCATGGAGGGAAACTGCTTTAAGAACAATGGCGCCCCAGTGTAGACCAGCTACAAATGATTGAGAGTATTTCATACATCTAAAGAAAGAGGCATGGGTGCAGGGTGTGGCTTAATGAAGACTGCGTGATTAATGAGGGTGTGGGATCAATGAAGAAACTACAGAAAAGGGAGACTCAGAAACAAAGGCAGGCAGTGTACCGCCAATGCCATTGTAAGGAGGGAGGGTCCTGGCCCACCACCACGAGGATCCAGTCCATGTCGCCAGTCTATCTGATGACACCCCCATTACGATCATCCAACCCATTCTGCTGCTCTGGGTCCAGGCCTGATAGGTATCTTCTGCTTAGGCTCTGACGTTCCATGTGAATTTGTTTCAAGGGAAACATGAGTATCTGTATCATGTAAAGGACAAGTGAGCACTGTGGTTTTTCTACACGTGACTCTTGTGAGTATTCTTAACGTGAGTCAGGCTCTAAGAGACCAATCACCATGGAATGAAAACGTGTAAGATTTATCTGCATGACCAGTCATTCCTCTCCAGGAAGTGCCTCTTTATTAATCCTGTACATTATTTTAAATTTTAAAAAAAGATACCCGCAGATTAGATGTTTGTCAAACTTTGACAAGGAAATTTGAGCTACCTCGTCATGTTGACTGAAAATAATTTAGATCAGGATATTATTAGCTTTCACCTAATATTCTTCCTCTTTGTAGTTCCACAACCATAAGAAGTTTCAGAGAAATGTGACTTAAGAGAATTTGCATCTCTAGTAAGGTTAAATTTAGATGCATTATAACACTGCACTAATTGTATAACCAAGATTTGCCAATAGAATGGCTAAAACATTTCCAGGAACCAAAACACCCTAAGATATTCATTAGGATATGATTATACTATTTAATGATTTTACCTATTATCACTAATTACAAATTAAAGCGATTCACACCTAAATGGAGAAAGGTAGGCGGGGTTTTCTTGTATATTACCACCAGCACTGAACACCAGAGAGGCCCCTGAGGTTAAGTGGGGACAGCATCTGCTGTTGAATATTAGTCTTAAGAGGCAAAAGAACCAAGGAAACAAAGCTGGGTCTACCTACAGCCATGACAACCCACAACAGGCATCCAGTGCCACCTTGCGAGGAATCATGGAAATGCAAAAGGAAGGAAGAAAGACTGTGCGGAAGAAGTCCCATTCAAGGAAGATAAAGGAAACGGAAACTATTGGGACTAAGTAAAATGATGACTTAAATAAAATAAACCTCACTCCTCCTAGTATAATTTTTAACTTTTCATCAAATGGAAGATAACTAGCTCTACTGAGGAAAACACTAATGAGTGCTTGGGGTAGATAAGACTATTCTCATGAGGGTCTGGGTGCCGGCTGCCTGAAGACTTTCATCACAGAGAAGTTGGAATGCTGGGAAACCCTAAAGGAAGATGGTGAAGACCAACAAAGGGAGAGAGAGTGAGGCAACTACTGCTATTTGCCTTCCAGTATATATTTTCTCTTTCTCTTCCCCCAAAGAACTGATTTTAGCTGGGAAAACCTCAGTGCCTGGGATACTAAATGTCCGACATAATAAAGAATTGTCCCAGATCCTATGTGACTTCCCAACGTCTTACCAGAGACTCAGTATAAGTGAAAAATTTATAGTGAACCAATCCTAGATTTTCTGTTTTACATATAATCATAAAGTATTTTTTTATTTTTTCCAGTTTTATTGAGATATCATTGACGTATAACATTGTATTAGTTAAAGGTGTATAACATAATGATCTGATACATGTATATATTGAGAAATGATCACCACAATAAGTTTAGTTAACATCCATTAGCTCACATAGTTACAGAACTTTTTTTCTTGTGGTGAGAACTTTTAAGATCTATTCTGTTAGCAACTTTCAAATATACAATATAGCATTGTTAATTATAGTTACCATGCTGTGCATTAGATCTCCATGACTTATTTATCTTATAACTAGAAGCTTGTACCTTTTGATCCCCTTCACCCATTTCCCCATCCCTTACCCCTTGCCTCTGGCAACCACCAGTCTATTTTCTGTTTCTATGAGTTAAAGATTTTTTAGATTCCACATATAAGTAAGATCATACAGTATTTGTCTTTCTCTGTCTGACTTATTTCACTTAGCATCACACCCTGAAGGTCCATCTATGTTGTCATAAATCATAAAGTATTTTTAAACGGTTTTAACATATACCGAATTTTCTGGGAATGCAACTACCCTACAAATTGAGGGAAGAAAATACTTTACTTTGTTCAGAACTTCATCAGTGATTATTTACTATTTCAGGAAATCACTATAGTAAGGCCACTCCAGGTGTCTGATCCCCTATACCATACCGCAGCAACTGCACCTGTGACATTCATGATGACGTCTCGTACAGAGACAAGCATCTGATGATTTCATTATTTCTTCCAGTGTAGCTAGACATAGCCAGCCCTGGCAGTCTAGTGGTTAAGATTCAGCACTCTTATACAACAATACATTAAAAAGATCATACATCATGATCAAGTGGGTTTCATTCCGGGGATGCAGGGATGGCTCAACATCCACAAATCTATCAACGTGATACACCACATTAACAAAATGAAGAATAAAAATCACATGATCATCTCAATAGATGCAGAGAAAGCATTTGACAAGATATAGCATCCATTTATGATAAAAACTCTAAATAAATTGGGTATAGAAAGAAAATACCTCAACATAATAAAGGCCATATATGACAAAGCCACAGCAAATATCATTCTCAATGGAGAAAAACTGAAAGCTATCCCTCTAAGAACAGGAACCAGACAAGGATGCCCATAGTATTTTATTTAACATAGTATTGGAAGTCCTAGCCAGAGCAATCAGGCAAGAAAAAGAAATAAAAGGGATCCACATTGGAAAAGAAGAAGTGAAACTGTCACTCTTTGCAGATGACATGATTTTATATCTAGAAAACCCTAAAGAGTCCACTAAAAAACTCTGAGAAATAATAAAGGAATACAGTCAAGTTGCAGGATACAAAATCAATGTACAAAAATCCGTTGCATGTCTATACACTAACAACGAAGTAGCAGAAAGAGAAATTAAGAATACAATCCCATTTACAATTGCAACAAAAAGAATAAAATACCTAGGAATAAACTTAATGAAAGAGGTGAAAGATCTGTACACCAAAAACTGTAAAACATTGTTGAAAGAAATCGAAGAAGACACAAAGAAATGGAAAGATATTCCGTGCTCTTGGATTGGAAGAATTAACATTGTTAAAATGTCCATACTTCTTAAAGCAATCTGTAGATTCAACGCAATCCCTATCAAAGTTCCAACAACGTTCTTTACAGAAATAGAACAAAGAATCCTAAAATTTATATGGAACAACAAAAGACCCCAAATAGCCAAAGGATGCCTGAGAAAAAAGAACAAAGCTGGAGGTATCATACTCCCCGATTTCAAATTATACTACAAAGCCATAGTAACCAAAACAGCATGGTACTGGCACAAAAACAGACACACAGATCAATGGAACAAAATTGAGAGCCCAGAAGTAAACCCACACATTTATGGACAGCTAATATTCAACAAGGGAGCCAAGAGCATACGATGGAAAAAGGAGAGTCTCTTCAATAAATGGTGTTGGGAAAACTGGACAGCCACATGCAAAAGAATGAAAGTAGACCATTCCCTTACACCATGCACAAAAATCAACTCAAAATGGATTAAAGACTTGAATATAAGACCTGATACCATGAGACTTCTAGAAGAAAACATAGGCAGTACGCTCTATGACATTGGTCTGAGCAGCATATTTTCAAGTCCCACGTCTGACCAGGCAAGGGAAACAAAAGAAAAAATGAACAGATGGGACTACATCAAACTAAAAAGTTTCTGCACAGCAAAGGAAACCATCAACAAAACGAAAAGACAACCTAACAACTGGGAGAAGATATTTGCAAACCACATATCAGATAAGGGGTTAATATCCAAAATATACAAAGAACTCATACAGCTCAACAACAAAAAAACCAACAATCCAATTAGAAAATGGGCAAAAGATTTGAACAGCGATTTCTCCAAAGAAGATATACAGATGGCCAACAGGCATATGAAAAGATGCTCAACATCATTAGCTATCACAGAAATGCAAATCAAAACTACAATGAGGTATCACCTCACTCCAGTCAGAATGGCTATAATTAACAAGACAGGAAACAACAAATGTTGGAGAGGGTGCGGAAACAAGGCAACCCTTGTTCACTGCTGGTGGCAGTGCAAACTGGTGCAGCCGCTATGGAAAGCAGTATGAAGTATCCTCAGAAAATTAACGATAAATCTACCATATGATCCAGCTATTCCACTGCTGGGTATTTATCCAAAGATCTTGAAAACAGAAAGGCATAAAGATACTTGCACCCCTATGTTCATTGTGGCATTATACACAATAGCCAAGCCTTGGAAGCAACCTTGGTGCCCATCA